TTTTTCACATCATGGCATATTCAAAGTGTCCATTGATTTACAGAAAAAAAAATAGTGACATACAGAATAAAATGATTTTGATTGACATGCTGCAGAGGACTTTGGACGGTTTCTCGAACTAAACTCATGCTTTTTCTGAAGTTCATGAATATCACATGGATGACTCTTGCTTTTAACATCTCTTTTCTTATGATAATTGGCTTTATGAGTTAGAACATGGTCATCAGCCATGTCCGTAGGACGAGTTTCCAAACTTTGGATAAGAGCCCATGCCCATTCACTTCTCTTACTTGAGGAGTTTAAACCCAATCCTCATAAAGGCATATGTCTATTCAATCCTATTACTAGCATAAAATTACGACTTTCTCTACTAGTATAAACTAGCAAGTAATTACAACTAAATCAACAAGTGTAAACAGATAATCTCATTAAATATATTTAATTTAAGTAAACAAAAATGAAAAATGAAGTTAAAAATACATTTACAAACATTACTTTTTCTACAACTCTGGTGAATGAAAGTGATAAATCTATTTTTTGTGTGTAATCATGCTAACATCTATGGATACATGCCTTGGTAGTATGCACAGTTTTCATATTCAGTAACAAATTGGGTTTGAGCAATGAATTGTATCGTTTGAGTAACAAAAGTTTTTAGAATAAGAAAGCTTTTAGATAATATTTACACCTTTGTAATATTTAAAAATTATACTGCAAGATGCATGTTTAATTTAATGATAAATTAGCTCTCAACTTCAATGCTGGTGACGCCAAGAAAGTAGCTGCAAGCTATTTATTGCATTATATTTTTAAAATTAACAACTAGACTGATGGGAGAATGAGTGATAGTGCTGCAAGCGAAAGTAACAAAAGTTTAAAATTTAGCCCGTCTATTTTATTTATTTATTTGGCAGAACAGATAAATCTAGTAATTATTCTTTTCAGTGATTGAAGTTGCTTGACTGATGTAAGTAAAGTTCCACTTGTATAAACAATTCTTCCTCTATCTACTTTTAATAAAATGATTTTTAAAAAAACCCCATTCAGCTTGACTCCCCGTACAGTGGATTAAGTGAGCCTATGCTTGGTGGCCTAGTTATGTTAATCTATATTCGTGATGTGCTAGATGTGACCGCTTGGGATGATAGTGTGCTGTCACAATTAACGCATTTCTGTCAACAAACATGGCGGAGGCAAATGGCATGGTGCTTAATGTAATATATTTATCCGGTTTCCTAGTAAGTATAAATCATTTCATACAGAGCTGATTCCCATATTGTTAGAGAATTGTCACTGTGCTGTCAGGGCCAACTGAAAACTGACAACACCAATAACTGATACATCATTACATGCAATGCTTCGAAATTCTATGGGGTCGGGGATCATTATCTCATGATGTTCTCTTAACGTCCCCGCATCCCCCCCCACCACGTCACACTTCATCCTGATGACGTGGTACACAGGAAAGGCCTCATAAAACCCTGTGTTAAACACTCTAGTGGCTGTATGTGACACCATTTAAAATGTCTTGCGGAAGAGGTAGCACGTACGTACTTCTGCCGCGTAGTTTGAACACAATCGAGTTGTAAAGTAATGCTAACTTTTTATAACGCGCAAAACGCAATTCTGTGGTTCGTGTCAGCTTTACGTGGACTTCAAATTTTAATTGCGAATGATATACTACAAGGTTTTTTGATGGAGGATGTGGATATAGATAGTCTCGACAGTTTGCTTCTGTATACGATTATGTAGTAAGTATACCTAGCTGGTATGGAAGGTCGATAACTGAGATAAAATTTTACGCTGCACCTTTATTTTCTTACATCGTTATATTCCCCCTACTATACCAGTATAGTAGCAAAATTATGATCATATTACTTGCATTAGTGCAATCCCACATTGTTACTGCCTTGCATAGTTACTCTCTCGGGGTCATGCCGATACTCCCCCGCACCGTTACTCCCCCACACCGTTACTCCCCCGCACCGATACGCCCCCGCACCGATACCCCCCCTTAGTAAATTTTTGCANTACTCCCCCGCACCGATACTCCCCCACATCATTACTCCCCCTATGCAATTTTGACGAAACTGAGGATCGAGTAACAGAGTCAACCCTCCATTTAATTAAACAGGTTAGGGTCAGTCTAGGTAAGTGGATCAAAATCTACGACCCGTTTTAGTCCAAATTTTGCGGAGAAACTCATGTACCAAGCAAGTCCTTTATGCGAAATTTCGAGTTCGCACGTATGTAAGCACGTACGGAGGATATTGAACATTTCCAATAGATTCTACGAATAATCTGAGAACGGCGAGGCCGCAAGCGTAATTTTCTCCCTTTCTAAGGAGTTTGCGATTGGTTTGCAAGTGAGACTTGCCTGGTCCAAGATGCACGCCGCAAGAAATGAAGGAGAAAGAGCCCTTTGCGTGTTGAGTACGGCGCACGCCCTCACATCTATAACAAACAAAATCAAAAACACGACGGAACTGCGAGTATAAAAGGCGTGCTCACGACGTATGCTCGTGTCTCTACAATTTCGTTGTGCAACAATTTTCAAAATTTTTGAATTTTGCTCAATTCAGATTCTAATCTAATTCAGATTCAAAAGACAAGGGAAAGAAGCTTAAAGAGCAGAAAAGAAGGTTGGAGGAAAAAGACAGAAAACGAAGCGCTTTAGCACTTCTTTTTTATTACTTAATAATTTTACAAATTCATTGTTGCCTGAAAAAAAAAGACATAGCTGCGTTATCTTAGATTAAAACTAACTTTTCCTTAAGTTAATAAAAAATAAAAAATAAATAAATTAATTAATAAAAGGCCGTACAATATAT